TTTTCTCATGGCCTGACGCCATATCATTCTAGAAGCTGAGATGGAGAAGGCATTTGGGGTCACTGTTGCATGTGTGACTTTTCACTTTAATCACTGTTTTCACCCTCATACCTGCCCTCCACCTGCCCGTGTCCCTGAGAACAAAACTGTCTGTGCAGCAAGAGTTAAAAAATGCATTTATTACTGACCTCTCCCCATAGCTTTGCGAGGTTGGTGCTACGAGTTTTAATTCTGTTTGATTGATTGATTGATTTTTTGGTAATCCTCACCCGAGAATATTTTTCCATTGATTTTTTTTTTTTTTTTTTTGAGAGAGACTGGGAGGGAGGGAGGGAGAGAGAGAGAAAGAAACATTGATGTGAGAGAAACACATCGATTAGTTGCCTCCCAGCCCCTGTCACAACTGAGGTACGTGCCCTTGACTGGAATTGAACTAGTGAATTTTTGGTCTGTGGGCTGACACTCTAACCGCGGAGCCAAACCAGCCAGGGCGCAACACATTTTCTTTTTTAAACCTTGGGCAGACATAAACAGGGTGCTGCTCCCCCAACCACCCGCCCAGCTGCTTTTTCCACCTTAAGGAGAAACTCAGGTCCTCTGGCTTATCTGCTCAGCAGAGCCTTAATCTACTTACCTGAAACATCTTCTTAGCCCTGGAAGCCAAACTTACAGGAGACCAAGGAGAAAATGGAGCCAAGATTTTCCCAAATAAGCCCCTGGAACCAACCAAGCCTTGGAGGTGCTCCTCCACTCCTGTGACTTATTTTGGACCAGAGGACATAGTGCATTTTCCTGGCTATCTTTCTGTGTTATGAGTGACTTTGCAGATGAAGCCAAGAGATCTGCCCTTCCTTTTTTTGTCCTCCCTGGACTGCCTGCCAGGTTCAGCTTCAGCCCTTCCCACACTCCTCAAGTCATCTATTCCACACTCGCTGTCGTCTCCTAGCAACTGGGCTTGCCCGCCAGCATCCTGCAGCCTGAGGTCCTGCATCACTGTCTCCGGATGCTTCTTCCCCTCACAGCAGTCTGGCTTTTCAGGTGCCTGGTCCAGTATCTTCCTGCCAGCCTGGTCTGGAGTCCTTTGACAGGTGGGAAGAGGGCCAGAGAGGAAAGATTAGGAATGACCCGTCTTTAGGCCTGAGCAAGTTTTATCACCTGGACATTCCATCCATCTGGACTGAATACATAACTAACCGACTGCTGGATTTTGCTGTCGTGTTACCTAAACTTGTTTGTTTTGTATTTTTGAGTTGCCAAGGGGCAGATTTCATTTTCTGTCAATAGCATTGACCTTAAACCACCTGGTAGCAAAGATAATATCCATCTTCCTGCCTGGCCGGTGTGGCTCAGTGGTTGAGCATCGACCCATGCACCAAGAGGTTGCTGGTTCAATTTCCGGTCAGGACACATGCCCAGGTTGTGGACCAAATCCCCAGTGGAGGGCATGCAGGTGACAGCCAATCGATGTTCTCTCTCATCGATGTTTCTATTTCTCTCTCCCTCTCCTTTCCTTTCTCTACAAAATCAATAAAGGGAAAACATATATATCTATCTTCCCTAGGAGCCAGAGATGGGACTGGTGAACAATGTGTGATGCGGTTCCCAAGAGCTACCCTTGGCAGGATGTAAGGGAGGAAGTCGGTCTGCAAATGTGGTTCATAGCGCAGGACACAGGGCTTTCCAGACAGGTGAAGCTGTGACTCATACTTACCACGTCCTGGTCTCAAAGGCAGACCCATTCTCCCTTCTCTTCGTCGTACTGCCACTGCCCTAAATGAAGTCTCTCGCCCCGCTCTTACAATAACTTCCTGGACCCAGACAGAAACAAATGGTGTCTTCCTAACTGCCAGGAGGCAAATTCCTCTTTTGAAGAGATCTGTGTTTGGGTATCAGAGTACGGCTTCAGCATTTAACATATTTTTAATGAGCTTCTACTATGTACTTGGTCTGGGCTAGACCTGGGGGTACTGTGGTAAGAAAGGTAGATGTATTTTCTGCCCACAGAGAATTCACATCCTGGGAGGAAGGCAGATAACAAGTGATTTTTTTTTATTATTATTAACAAAATATTTTTTTCTTTCTTTCTTTTTTTTTTTTTATCCTCACCCGGGGACATTTTTCCATTTTTTGTTCAGATAGAGTGGGAAGAAGAGAGAGAGAGAAACATCGATGTGAAAGGGACACATTGAGTGGCTGCCTCTCGCACGACCCAACCAGGGCCGGGACAAACTGCAACCGAGGTATGTGCCCTTAGTGGGAACCGAACCGGGGTCTCTCTGGACCGCAGGCCAACACTCTAACCGCTGAGCCAAACTGGCCAGAGCAAAAAAATTTTTTTCTTTATTGATTTTAGAGAGAGAGGGAGGGAGAGACAGAAACATCGATGAGAGAGAGCATCCATTGGTCACCTCCTGCAGGCCCCCCACTGGGGATCTGGCCCACAACCTGGGCATGTGCCCTGACTGTGAATCGAACCGGTGACCTCTTGGTGCATGGGTCAATGCTCAACCACTGAGTCACATTGGCCAGGTGATAACAAGTTATTTTAATCAGTTATGTGGAAGGCTCAGGTGGTCAAGGAGGCCTCTCTGAGGAGGTGACATCTGAACTGAGACCTCAAGAAAGGGAGGAGTTGCTGGCTATACAGGTCAGGGAAAGAGCTTACTATGCAGTGGGAAGAGCATGTGCAAAGGCCCTGGGGGTAGGAACAAGATTAGCTGGTCTGATGGCAAGCAGAGATTGGTGGGTCTGAAGTGAAGTTATTGAGGGAGCGAGTGGTAGATGGGTTCTTGCAGGGACTTCACTGGGATTCGGGGCTTTATCCTAAGTGCAGTTGTGAGTTTTACCCAGAGCTCCTGCCAATGGAGGATTGAAGCAGCAGAGTGACAATGTGGATGGAGAGTAGAAGTGAGACTTTCTGATGGTTTGGCCCGGAGCAAAGAGGAACTCAGGAGGACTCCTTGCAGGTGGTGTGGTAGTCAGCCAGGGCAGTTGGGTGAATGGCAGAGTCGCTGACTAGGATCAAAGGGAGAGAGGGGGTGTGTGGGGTGAAGCTCCCCATGTAAGGCCTCCTGGACTCCTCCCCTGTGCTTTGTCTGTGGCTGTGGCCAGGACCAGCAAAGGGGCTGGCTCTGCCTCCCAGGTGTTGTTGGGGTGCCTGTGAGAGGCAGGGAGGGGGCACGCCCTCACAAAGGGGCCTGAGGCAGAGGAGGCAAAAGTGAGTAGCCTGCCCTCCCAGGGAGGTAGTTGGAGTCAGGTGCCCGGCCACTTCCTTTTCAGGTAGATAATGTACCTGCCAGAACCAGGCTGGGCGTCTCCTGCCTTAGGCTCCCTTGGCCTGGCTCTGAGAAAAGGTCCTAGCTGTCTCCCAGCCCATGCTCGGTGCACACGGACGTGTGCCATTTCCACTGGGGGCACTTGCCACCTTGCCCACCTTCCTGGGATGTCCTGGAGGCTCTAAGCTGTCAGAAGCTCAGATAGTGACCAGGACTATCTGAGCCCCCTACACCCTCTGAGATTTTTTATGAAGATTTGGGGAAACTGCAGGGGACTCCTGGTTGGAGGTCTGCAGGCAGAGAACCCTCACCGACTCAGCTTGGCCACTCCCTCCTTCAGGAAGCCTCCGAGCCTGCACCCCTCCCACTGATGGTCCCACCATGTATCTCCTGGACCAGGCCAGAGTGGGTCCCTTGAGTGGCCTGGGGCATGTGTGAAATGGATGTTTCTCTGCCAAGTCCTGCAGATGGGTGGGATCTGCAGAGCCCGGCTTCTTTGCGCCCCCTAGAGACTCCATGTGGAATGGTCTGAGGGTGACCACACCTGAAGCATAGCCCCAGGGCAGCACCAGCCCCTCCATGTCCTCTCTCCATCCAAACGCTCCTGGCCTCAGAGCTTTGGGGAGAAATGCCAGCAGGTGGAGCGCCCCTGCCTGGAGCCCTGAGAGCCCAGCAGGGTCACTTGCACTCCAGCAAAGGGTTGAATGATCCACACTAAAAGACAAGCGTATGTCGTTTATTCCCCTGCCCCTCAAACTCCCAGAGAGCTCTGCAAAGACATTAGACATAAAGTCATACAGAGGCTGTCCCTTAAACACAGACACAAAATCAAAGGAATCAAGTGACTGTAGACCAAGTTAAGCTTTTCTCCTTCAATGCCAGCCAAAAAAACTGGTCACCAAAAAGGGAGGTTTGGACAGAGTGGGGTGGGGGCTGGGCAGGAGCTATCGCCATGTCCACCACTGCCAGGACCATGTCTACCAGGAGATGCTTGGCCCTCTGTCCTGCCCCCAGACCTGCTCCCACGAGGCGAGCCCTGGACCCACATAGGCCAGCCCTACACAGGCAGGATGGGAGACAGACAACGAGAAATCCCAGCCTTAAACGAGACATTACAGAGCAGCTCCTCTGTAAGCAGAAGGCACTCAGTGGTCAGGGTGGGGTGGGCGTCTGAGTCAGGGAAGATTCAGGTTATAGACGTTCCCGGGAGGGGGACAGAGGAGCACTCAGCCGGGTTACTTTCCCTCAGTGGGGATGGGAGAGGAGCCCAGCTCAGGCCCTGCAGATTCTGGCTGAGGGGCCATTTCTAGGCTGGTGAGGGGGAAGGGCACTGTTTGGAGCAGCCCCCTGACCCCAGCCCTCCCTGGCCTGCCTCCCAGGGCTAGCCCTTGGGGCAAGGGGCCCCAGATTCGCATGCCCCGGCGATTTCAAGTGCACGGCTTGGGCAGCCACAGGAAGAAATTTATAAACCCACACCCTTAGTAGCCCCAGGTGAGTTTAAAGCTAGCAAAGTGCCAGGTTTCCAAGTTGCTGTGCTATACCCCCTACACCTTCTATGCAGCACTGGGGGCACCTCTGGGTGCGGGGTGCTGCCCCACCCAGAGGTTCTCATCCCTGGGTGATGCGGTTTCACTGATGATCAAAGCACAAGTGTTTTTAAAGAAACCCCTGGAATATTCCTAGAGAGGAGAACACACTGTCCAATGTCAGGGATGAAGCAGCCACTCAGTGGCCCGTCAGGTCCTGGAGGGCAGGCGAGGCCCTCTCCACCAGGCTGGCCTGCTTCCGCCGGCCCTCCTCAGCCTCGGCCTCCTGAGGCCTCTTCCGGAAGCGCAACCCGGGCCTGCTCCTGGGCGGCGGCAGGGGGTCCATGCCCAGGACCTTGTGGATCTGCTTAAACGCCAACGTGCGCAGGGCGTGCTGGGGACAGACAGCCCGTCAGCCCAGGGGCTCACCAGGCATCCCGTCCTTGACAACACCCTTTTACAACTGCTGACTCGGTTACCATCAGGCATGAAGAACTGCACTGAGTCGCTCAGGCTGCTAAGGGCAGGACTTTGCCAGGAAGCCCTTGGATCATCAACGCTTTCCTGCCTCACCGCAGGGACCCCAAACCCTGCATCTCTCAGTTTGGCTCTGAGAATAAGCTCTTTGATTCTTTCCATTAAGACAGTTCCTAACTGTCAGGCCCAATGTGGTTTTTGTACCGCTGGGAGACTTTCTTACAAACTGACAGAGTAAAGGGGAGGCACAGATGGGGGCTGGGGCCCTGCGTTGGTGCTTCAGGCTGGTCAGCCACAGCGGGGTGTTTTCAGAGTGGGGGGGGGCAGACACTGGGCCAGTAAGGCCCCAGGTCTCTGCCTCATCACTGCCCCCAGAAGCGGTTCTGTTATCCATGGGCCACCCTCCCACAGGCCATCTGTCTCTGTAGGGGGAGGGAAAAGGAACCCCAGACCATTTCCTGGGAGGCTGCTTAGCTGCAAACAGTGGCTGGGCCCAGGTGCCGCCCACAGCCTGGTTGAGCTGACCTGGAGTTGGGGAGCCACAGGGACTGGCCATCCTACCTGGGCACTGGCTGTGATGTCTTCCCGCTCCTGCAGGGTCATGGGCTCGAGCACGTCCATCTGGTTTCTCTCACAGGGATCCTGGAGCCCAGGCCCATCTTTGCAAGAGGGTTGGGGGTGGCAAAGAAGAGAGAGCACCCTGGTGAAAGACTGCCACCGCCCAGGGGCCTGAGAGGGTCTGAGCACAGGGTCTGTGACTGTACTCCTCTGCCCCCAGGGCCACACCTGGCTGGCATGCCCTTGGTGCCACAGGATCTCCCCTGGGGGTGGTTTTCCGGGGCCGCTCCTCCCTCTGTCTCCACAAGTATACTCAGCAGAGCTCCTTCCTGCCACTGTGCGCACATGCGGGCATGTAGTTATCTAACAGGCTCCTACCACAGGCCCAGTGTGTTTTCTCTTCTTTCACTTAATGTGGTATCCCATGTCACCAAAGTGACTGGGAAACGGCATCTGTGTCTGACATCTCATGAGAGCGTGTGATGCTCCTCTTCCTTTCTGCCACTGTAAGCCACACTGTGGTGAACATCTCTGTCCATAACAGTTCTGAGGGTCTGGTGATTTCCTTCAGAAATATCCCCACCAAGGCCGTCACCTGCTGACAGCCAGGTCTCCCGGAAAGGGGGTTGCATCAGAGAATGAGTGTGAGGCCGACTGAGAGGGGCAGGCCGCTTGCTGCTCTGTCTGCACTGGGCCTTGGCCTCTGTGAGTGAGTGGGTTCCACACACTCCATGCTGCTCCCTTCCCCTCTGGGGGTCTCCGTCCCTCCTCCCATGCTGCTCCCTTCCCCTCTGGGGGTCTCCGTCCCTCCTCCCATGCTGCTCCCTTCCCCTCTGGGGGTCTCCGTCCCTCCTCCCATGCTGCTCCCTTCCCCTCTGGGGGTCTCCGTCCCTCCTCCCATGCTGCTCCCTTCCCCTCTGGGGGTCTTCGTCCCTCCTCCCATGCTGCTCCCTTCCCCTCTGGGGGTCTCCGTCCCTCCTCCCATGCTGCTCCCTTCCCCTCTGGGGGTCTCCGTCCCTCCTCCCATGCTGCTCCCTTCCCCTCTGGGGGTCTCCGTCCCTCCTCCCATGCTGCTCCCTTCCCCTCTGGGGGTCTCCGTCCCTCCTCCCATGCTGCTCCCTTCCCCTCTGGGGGTCTCTGTCCCTCCTCCCATGCTGCTCCCTTCCCCTCTGGGGGTCTCCGTCCCTCCTCCCATGCTGCTCCCTTCCCCTCTGGGGGTCTCCGTCCCTCCTCCCATGCTGCTCCCTTCCCCTCTGGGGGTCTCCGTCCCTCCTCCCATGCTGCTCCCTTCCCCTCTGGGGGTCTCTGTCCCTCCTCCCATCTGGGTTGCACGCTGATCTTGAATGTTGGTAAGAGAATGTTTCTGTACCTCACTATGACCTTCAGTCTCTGCCCTATGCCCCAGTATTCTGGGCTCCCGAGCTGATCAGGACTGACCTGTCAGGAGTGTTCCCGAGGCCACACACTCCAGGACCCGTCGCACAGCGTCCCCAGGGCTCAGGGGCCCCTTGGCGCTGCTCAGAGCCTTCTCCACCAGCAGCTCCATGGCCTGGGCCGGGCGAGGATGGAAAAGGAGACATTGCCTCTGAGGACAGTGCCTTGGCCAGCTTGCCTCCCACTGGAGGGGCTCTATTGGGCTCAGCTAGGGGTTTCCAAGGGACCCCAGGACAGGCAGCTCCTCCCAGCTCTTTCTCTAACTCCCACCCACCCTTGACTTCTACAGAGGTTGGTCCCTGAGGCTGCACCACCCCCAGGTATGGCCACAGGCAGTTTTCTTCACTCTCTAACCCTCGGTTTCCCCGTGGGCAAAACCCCATCAATTGTAACATTGCAAACTAGCATTTCAAGGGTTAAAAGAAACTTGTTCTCCATGACCCATGGTACCCTTAGTCAGGATTGCAATGACTCCGTGGCTTGCTCAGGGTGCCCCTCCTCCAAGAAGCCACCGGACCAAGTGGGTTGCGAGGGCAGGACTGAGACATGTGCCAGTGACTCAGCACGAAGCCGGCCACTGTGCTGTCCACGAGGGTTGGCATCAGGAGCAATGTCTCCCCTGGACACTGGGCAGGAGGCAGAGGTGCTGGAGGCACCAGAACCCTAGGTTTTGGTGGCCTGGGCCAGGATGGGAAGGGCCTGCTGTCCAACAGCCCGGCTTTGGGGGCTGGAGGAGGTGAGCTGGAGGCAGAAGGCCGGGATAGAATGCAAACGTCCCTCAGAGCGCAGGCGGCTCTGGCCCCTTCCCAAGAATAATGTGAACCACTTAAAAACCTACAGGTCGTCCCACCCAGCACTGGGGGTTGAGGGGTGTCAGTGGGAGGGTTTGTGGGGCAAGAGTGGGACACTCAGATCTTTGAGAGCTGGGGTCTCACGACCCAGCAGCTTGGGTGTTCAGGGGGCACGGGGCCCTTGCACTCTCTCTTCTCTGCTCTTCCCCTCATCCCCTACTGGCCTGGGGGTGGGGGAGGGGTGGGGTGGTGTCAGAGCTGTAGGGGGTCTCCCCTCCAGAGGAGGTGGAGGTGCATCAGGCCACCCAGAGGCCAGAGTGAAGCTGTGATGGACACTGGCTCCCTGACCACCCCAGGCCCTCTGCATTGACACTGCACATTTCCCCGGCGCCCGTCACTGGCATGCTACCTGCTTCAGTGTGTGAGGCTGAGGGTTTAAGAAAATACAGTCAGGCCCTGGCCGGTTTGGCTCAGCGGTTAGAGCATCAGCCTGCGGTCCCGAGACACCCGGGTTCGGTTCCCACTAAGGGCATGTACCTCGGTTGCAGTTTGTCCCCGGCCCTGGCTGGTCGTGTGGGTGGCAGCCACTCGATGTGTCCCTTTCAAGTCGATGTTTCTCTCTCTCTCCCTCCCACTCTACCTGAACAAAAAAATAGAAAAAAAAAGTCCTCGGGTGAGGATAAAAAAAAAAAAAAGAAAATACAGTCAGGCCCTGCCGGTATTGCGCAGTGGTTAGAGCGTTGGCCTGTGGACCAGAGAGGCCCGGGTTCGGTTCCCACTAAGAGTATGTACCTCGGTTGCAGTTTGTCCCCGGCCCCGGTTGGGGTCCTGTGGGTGGCAACCAGTTGATGTGTCTCTCTCACATCGATGCTTCTCTCTCTTTTTTCCCCCTTCTCTCCCTCCCGCTCTATGTGAAGATAAATGCAAAAGAAAGAAAGAAAATACAATCAAGTGAAGCTGCACTTGAGCTGGCCTCTTCCTGGTGCCAAGGGACTCCTGAGACACCCCTCCCGTGATCTGCCTCTCCTGGGCACTCCGGCTGATGCTAGCCCCTCCTCGGAAAGCCCAATGGGAGAGGAAACGTCTGTCCAGGAGGAAATAAGACCCTCTTAGACTTACCCAGTCTGGCAGGGCCCCCCAGGTGGGCACACGTTGGCAGAGGTCCCGAAAAACCCTGATGACAATTACACAGGGCTGTAGGCCGCTGGCTCGTGCCTTTGGGAGAAGAAGCACACGGTTAGCTCTGGAAGCCGCATGCACAGGAGTGTGTGAGGACAAGGGAACAAGGGCGGACCCGGGGGCAGGACACCGGGCCAGGGGTCCTGTCCTGGCAGTGGAGGTTAGGGACGGCCTCCGGTGGGGCATGGCTGGCTGACCTGGAGGGTGATGGCTGGGAGCGGGCTCCATTCCAAATGGGCACAGCCCAGCAGAACTGGCCCTGCTCTGATTCCAACCCATCAGTTTAGTAGCGCAAAGAGACATGAGCCAAACAGCTAGCCAAGGAGTCGGCTAAGGGCACAGCCAACAGGACAGAAGGTGTGACCTCCCCCCACCCCCACCCCTAACCTGGAACCACTTGGCATGGCGGAGGGCAGCCAGTGACTGGAGACACTTTTCTAGGCTCAAGACGTCCCCTGGGTCAGGCAAAGGCACTTCCACTCCTTCTAGAAGAAAAGGGCACGTAGGCAAGTTGCCCTTTCCCGTTTTCCTCCTTTCCTGGGCCACACGGGCCGTGCCTCTCAGTTCTCTGGGCCCCATTGTGGTCATTTAGGAGATACATGCTTCCTCCCAGATCGCCTTTCCTCTGGGACCCTGCGGGACCAGAGAGTCATGTCTGTGACAATCCTATCTCCCCTGAAGTCAGCGCCCATGAAGAAAGCGTTTGACGCTTATTGCTGAGCACCCTCAGTGCCGACGCCCTTAGTTAGCAAACTACAGAGCAGGTGAAAAACTATAAATTCAGCCCGATTTCCAGAAACGTCCAAATCCATAATTAAAAGGGAGAAAGTGGCCCCCGGCCAGGTGGCTCAGTGGGTTGGAGCGATGTCCTCTACACCAGAAGGTTGTGGGTTCGATTCTGATCAGGGCACACAACTAGGTTGTAGTTTCCGTCCCCAGTTAGGGCACGTACAGGAGGCAACTGATCAATGTTTCTCTCTCACACTGATGTTTCTCACTCTCTCTCAACACATCCTCGGGTGAGGATTAAAAAAAAAAAAGAAGAAAGTGGGTCAGATCTGAACACATCCCGTCATTGATGACAAAGGCCTCCATGTCTGACAGAAATTCAGATCCATTTTTCCTTCTTACTACTATTGCTTCAAGAATATGTTTGTCTCATTCTAGGACACCCTGGCTTATTTAGGCCACATGATGGAGCACAGGTATCACTTTCACCCATAAATATCCCCAGGGATCCTGTTGCCTGCCTGTCACAGGCTGGGGTGGAAGAGGAAGGGGTGTGTCTTCACAGGGGGGGCTAGAAGCTACCCTTCCAGCAACAGCCAGCCTGGGGTGCAGACTCCCGAGTGAGGAGACATCTGAGGTTTCCTGGTGCTCACAGAACTAGTTAATTACAGAGGGGTTTCCGCATCTTAATCTTTCCAATCAGCTTCCATCAAGTGGCCTCGGATCTTGAACACTTTCTAACATTCCCAATCTCCACTCTGTTCGTGTGTTTGAGCAAACCCCAGCAGGGCCTCCATTTAGAACTGACTGGTGCTGTTCATCACTCCGTATTGATTTTTAGACCACTCTCTATTTATGACAACTGATAATGGCTTTCCACTTACAGTCAAAGGTTCTCCTCTTTATTTTTATTTATTTGTTTAAATCCTCACCCAAGGATATTTTCCCATTGACTTTTAGCTAGAGTGGGAGGGAGGGAGAAACATCAGTGCAAGAGAGGCATGTCAATTGGATGCCTCCTGCACGACCTCAACTGGGGCCCGGGATCAAACCTGCAACCCCAGTATGTGTCCTTGACTGGGAATCGAACCCGTGACTCTTCAGTCCGCAAGCTGACGCTCTAACTGCTGAGCCAAACTGGCCAGGGCAAACTTTCTCCTCTTTAAAAATTTAAGTATTAAAAAAAATGATTTAAAGAAAAATGTCAGTGTCCCTCAGATTTGACAACAGTCATGAAGGGGGTTTAAGAACAAATGGAATTTGCCCGGCTGGTGTGACTCAGTGGATTGCGCGTCGTCCCTGGTCACTGGTTTGATTCCCAGTCAGGCACATGCCTGGGTTTCAGACTCAATCCCCAGTAGGGGGTGTGCAGGGGGCAGCCGATCGATGTTTCTCACATCAATGTTTCTATCTCTCTCTCTTCCTTCCTCTCTCTAAAAAATAAAATAAAAAAGAATGAATGGAATTTGGAAAATGGTCCTGGGGCTGTTCCAGGATGTTCTGGGAAACTCCCTGTCGCCTGGCCTTCACCACGTGGCAGTCACTTGAGGCCCTTGCTGCCCTCTGGCCTGGCCCAACACCTCCTCCTACTCTCTCAGGATGCCTCAAGCCCCCTGACCCCCGTGTCCCACAAGAGCAATTTTGGGACCAGCAGGTTCTGCTGTGGCCTCTGATGCAGACAGATGGACAATCTGAGCTCCTGGGGACCTGCCACAGCTGGTTCCCCCTGGGCAGGGTGCAGGTGTCCACACTGGCCTCGGGGCAAGGCAAGAGCGTGGAGCTGCACGGACAAAGCCAGGAGCGTACCCACAGCCTAGTTCTGAGCCCATGTGTCACTCTGTCACCAGCTGTTTCCTCTGTTCTGTTCAGTGGCATCAGGGGCTGACAGAAGGGCCAGAGGCTGCACCTCAACCGTCTACGCCTGCCCGGAGCAGTCAGATGCTTCCCTAAGCCACCTGGGTGTGTGGGGAGGGGGGCTGGACAGAAGGGCCTGGCTGCACCTCTGTCCATGGAGGGGTCCTCTCGCATTAGGGGCGAGGTGACAGACACAGTGACCCGTATTCTGGGCTCCTCAAAGGATGAGATGATGATGTTGGCTTCAGGGTCAGAGGAGACCTCATACTTGTCCTTCGTCACCATCTGTGAGATGCAAACACAACACCAGGTGGAGTTACTGCATCCGAGAGACAGGTGCAAACAGTAAGGACGTGGCCAGGTGGCAGACCCTGTGCCAGGAGTCTGGAGCCTCCACGGGACTCAGACACAGCCTACCCTCCAGAGTACACACATGTGGAAACATGTGTAGACGATGAACCCTGCATATAAGGGACCTTCATATGTAAAGAACACCTTAACAAGGACAGCAATCCAATTAAAACAAAAACAAAAATCTGACCATTGATATAACAGATAGTTGGAAGGAAAGGAAACAGAAGTGTCCTTTTTGACACAATGACACAGATGACCCCACAGTAAGAGAGAAGCAAATTAAAACTGGAATGAGGGCCCTGGCCGGTTTGGCTCAGCGGTTAGAGCGTCAGCCCGTGGACCAGAGAGTCCCAGGTTCGGTTCCCGCTAAGGGCACATACCTCGGTTGCAGTTTGTCCCCAGCCCTGGTTGGGGTCGTGTGGTTGGCCACCAGTTGATTTATCTCTCTCACATCGATGTTTCTCTCTCTCTCTTCCCCTCTCTCTCCCTCCTGCTCTATCTGAAGATAAATGCAAAAATGTCCTCAGGTGAGGATAAAAAAAAAAACTAGAATGAGGTACCATCATCATCATTGCCTATGAGAAGAATGAAACCCAGAAGTCTGTGGAGCAGCTGGGCTGGCAAAGCTGTGCATCTTATAAAGTGCTGGTGGAGGCTGACCGGGCCACACGTACCAGGAGCACTGGGCCTGGGCCTGCGACCCAGGGGCTGCCCAGGATGCCCTTCCAGGTGTGTGGAGCGGTGTGTGTACAGGGGATTTATTTTGTGCAGCCTCAGTGGTAATCCTGGGAGCAACCTAAATGTCCTTTGTCAGGACACGTACCTCCCACTGTCCGGTTAGACATGGCTCCCTCCTCCCTGAGTGCTCTCTCCGTGGCATCAGGCTTCCTCACTGGAGATGAACTAAAGTTAGCTTGCTGATGTGTGTTCATCTCTCCCGACCAGAGTGGGAGCCGGGGTGCCCTGTGTCTGCCGCCAGTGCTCACTAAGCCACTAGGAGAAGCGATGCAGAATTTTCCCAGGAACAGCGCCAGACACAGCAGCAAAAAACTGCCCTGGGAGCTGACTGTTTTAACCTAAGATGATCAACTTAAATCCTGACCTGCTCTTACTGCCTCCCCTCCCCCACCCCAGTTAACATGAGAAAAATACTATGACAACGACGGAGCAACTGCTCTCGCAGAGAAAGTCCAGTCCACCTCCCACAGTCCTCAAAATGGGTTTCCATCCTGCCTCGAGACTTTAAAGGCTCCTTCCTCTGCTCTCCACTGAGTCTCATGATCAGCACGGCGGTAAACGTTTCCCACGCCATCACCGTGTCACCATGTATCCCTTTAAATGGCTGGTCACCGTTCTCACGGTGGGATATGTACATTTTCTGAATTTTACCCTGATCTTACTTTAAATAGGAACCCTGAAGTTTCCACCTCTTTCTCCTTGCAACTGTTTATAAAAACAAACTGGTCTGTATCTAATAATGATGAGTTCTCTTGTTTCTTAAAATCCTGTGGATGCAAAGTCATCCCTGTCAGGGAGCCTAAGGTGCTCTTGAGAGGGCTGGCAGCCCCCCACCCCTCACCCCCATCCCCACACCACCGGGAGGTAACCACATTACCAGGAGCTGCTGGGGCAGCTGCTTGGTGACCATCTGCAACAGGGTGTGGGTGGGCTTCTGGGAGCAGAGCAGGATCAGCTGCACGGTCCTGTCTCCCCGAAGGAGGAGGCCTTTTGCCAGGAGGCCGACCCTCATCACCCCTTTCAGGATCCGAGCAGAGGGGCTGACACCACTGTGAAGACAAACCCACAAATGCAACTATGAGAAGAGGAGTCGGGGAGAAAGGGAGCATGTGGCCCTGCCCTGGGTCTGAAAATATCAGCAGCTTGCTGGGCCCTCTGTGCCTCAGCTTCCTCATCTGTGAAATGGGCCCTTTCTGAGTCCCGTTTCTCAGAGTGCACTTGACAAAAGGAGACATGAGGAGATAAATCTGAGAAAAGCGTTGGGAACCACATAGGTATATTACATGTGCTCAGTAAGGGCTGGTAGTTGTTACTATTTCCTGGTAAACTGCATTCTGAAAAAGGCCAATGATGACATCCCCAGTGACACCTGGTCCTCAGCCAGTGGGTGCCACCCTGGTCAGCCTTTGGGTTCGGGCACCTTCTAAGCCGTCTCTGGCTTCACCCCAATCTTGACCCTTGGCAAGCAGGCCCATCCATGTGCTCAGGCCACAGCGTCCTAAGGGAGATCCCTCTGCAGCCTCACCTCTCTGCAGATCAGGGCCAGCTTTCTGCAGTGTGAATCTGATCATCGCTCTGCCCTGCATCTAACCTCCCAGCACTGGCCCTCCGCAGGATGGGGACACCTGAGCTTATTTGCTGGCCTGAGGCCCCCAGCCTGACTTGCTAGGCCTTCTTACCACCATCCTCTCCCACCACTCCCTCTTGGGCCTCTTGGGCCTTATGTTCTAGTCCAGTGATTTTCAACCTTAAAAAAATTTTTTTTTTCCTTTATTGGTTTTAGAGAGAAAGGAAGGGGGAGAGAGAGAGAAACATCGATGAGAGAGAATGTCGATTGGCCGACTCCTGCATGCCCCCCCAGTGGGGATCAAGCTCACAACCCTGATGAGGAATTGAACCCGTGACCTCTTGGTGCATGGGTTGAAGCTCAATCACTGAGCCACACCAACTGGGCTCAACCTTTTTCATCTCATGGCACATATTACTAAAATTCTACAGCACACCAAAAAACATTTTTTGCTGATCTGACAAAAAAAGGTATAATTTTGATTGATTTACAAAAAGATAAATAATAGTAATTATCTATCCTTTTAGCTCCAGAACAACTTTTTTTTTTTTTTAATTAGGTGCCTATACTTATATATAAGGATTTCTGCTACCAAAAATTAACCAATTGCCCTGGTTGGGTGGCTCAGTTGGTTGGAGCATAGATCTGCACGCCAAAAGGTTTCAGGTTTGACTCCAAGTCAGGGTACAAACCTAGGTGGCAGGTTTGATCCTTACATGAGGCACATGTGGGAGGCAACCAATCCATGTTTCTGTCTCACATCGATGTTTCTCTCTCTCTTTCTACAATCGATAAGCACATATCCTCTAGTGAGGATTAAAAACAAAACAATACAAAAATAAATAAACCAATCAGATGCAACCTTATTATGCAACATGACCAATAAGATGCAATTCTATTATATGACCTATATATTTATGGTTCAAGACAGGACATTCACACGGGAAGACTGTTGTTGTGTTGGCTGTTGTCATTTTTGTTATCTGACAATCTAAGAAAAAAGAGGTCAGTGCCCTCAACTAAATAGTCAGGTGTTGCATGTTTTTTTATTTTGTTTTGTTTTTTCCTTTATTGATTTTGGAAAGAGAGGGAGAGAGAGATAGAAACATTGATGAGAGAGAATATCGATCAACCGCCTTCTGCATGCCCCCCACTGGGGATTGGGCCCACAACCTGGGCACGTGTCCTGACCAGGAATGAAATCAGTGACCTCTTGAAGCATGGGTCGATGCTCAACCACTGAGCCACAATAGCCGAACAGGTGTTGCATGTTTTAAAAATTCTTGAGGTACTTGGCTGAAAATCACTGCCCCAGCCCGAAGCTCCTTCCTATGTCCCTCCAGACCCACTGGGCTCGCTCCTCTCCTCCAGTTCCCAGGACTGGTGCCTGAGGTACCCTCACGTGACTAATCTCTAGATAAATGTCCGTGCTGTGCTACAGAAGCTGCCACTCTCTCCTGCCACTCCCTAATCACCACTTTGTTTTCTTTGTGACATTTCTAGAAATAGGAGATAACTTTTTTACTTAAAAAAAAAAAAAAGTTTATATATTCCTATCCATTTGGGGGCCACAGAACTCTGGAGCCCAAAGTATGAGGGGACCTGGCTCTGGAGGCTGCTGGCAAAATCTAGACCAGCAACATCTGGATTAGGGAGCAAGGATCAGACTCTGCAACTGAGACTCATAAAGACAGAAAAAGCAGAAAACAGGGAGTGGGGGGGAACCTTCAGATATACAGATTTACAGGTTTGTCAGCCAATTTGAATCCCAATTCACACCAAATATAGAAAGAAAAACAAACCCCGGAAAACCAAAAAAAACACGTTATGATATCTATGGGACAACTGGAAATTTCAACACTGACTAGATATTTGATGATGTTAAATAATTACTGTTAATGAGGTATCACCTCACACCTGTCAGAATGGCCACCATCAACAAATCATCAAACAACAAGTGTTGGCGAGGGTGTGGAGGAAAGGGGACTCTAGTGCACTGCTGGTGGGAATGCAGACTGGTACAGCCGCTATGGAAAACAATATGGTGTTACCTCAAAAAATTAAAAATTGAATTGCCATTTGATCCAGTGAACCCATTTCTAGGAATATACCCTAAGAAGCCTGAAACACCAATCAGAAAGAATATATGTACCCCCATTTTTATAGCAGCACTATTTACAATAGCTAAGATCTGGAAACAGCCTAAGTGTCCATCAGTAGATGAATGGATAAAAAAGTTGTGGTAGCCCTGGCTGGTTTGGCTCAGCGGTTAGAGCGTCGGCCTGCCGTCCAGAGAGACCTGGGTTTGGTTCCCGCTAAGGGCTTGTACCTCGGTTGCAGTTTGTCCCCAGCCCTGGTTGGTCGTGCGGGTGGCAGCCACTCAGTGTGTCCCTTTCATGTCAATGTTTCTTTCTCTCTCTCCCTCCCACTCTATCTGAACAAAAAATGGAAAAAAAATGTCCTTGGGTGAGGATTAAAAAAAAAAATTGTGGTACATATACACAATGGAGTACTACGCAGCTGTAAGAAAGAAAGATCTCTTATCCTTTTTTTTTTTTATCCTCACTTGAGGACATTTTTCCATTTTTTGTTCAAGTAGAGTGGGAGGGAGAGAGAAAGAGAAACATCAATGTGAAAGAGACACATCGAGTGGCTGCCACTCGCACGACCAACCAGGGCCGGGGACAAACTGCAACCGAGGTACGTGCCCTAGTGGGAACCGAACCCAGGTATCTCTGGACCGCAGGCTGAAGCTCTAACCGCTGAGCCAAACCGGCCAGGGCAGATCTCTTATCCTTTGAGACGACATGGAGGGACCTGGAAAGTATTATCTTAAGTGAAACAAGCCAAGCAGAGAAAGACAAATATCACATGATCTCACTTATTTCTGGAATATAATGAACATAACAGTCTGAGGAATTGGGTAGACCCAGAGACATTGAAGTAGGGTACAGACTGACAACCCTCAGTAGAGGGGGTGGTGGGGGAAGAAAAGATATAAACCACAGAACTTATATGCATGTATGCATAACCAATGGACATGGACAACAAAGCCGGATATGGGGTAAAGGGTATAGGGAGGAGGGTGTCAATGGGGAAAAAAAGGAGAACCATCCATAACAAAAATAAATTGATAAAAAATTTAAAAAAGAATTACTGTTAATTTTAAAAGGTGTGACAGTGGCATTATGGTTTTGTTAAATAAAGAAGAGAGTCCTTATTATTTAGAGATAGGTACTTACTAAATCCTTGGCAAAGGAACAGTATGCTGTCTGATAGGATTTCCTTTTAACCTCTATGGAGGGGGCAGGGAGGAAGGGCCAGAGATCAAGTGAAATCCCATGAGCTAGTCATGGTTTAGTAATGGCCACATGGTGCTCATTATAATTTTACTCTTCCATCCACTTTGGTGTATGTTTGAGAATTTCCATAATAAAAGTTTAAAAACCCAAACACTGAGATGCTCTTTGCAACAGTTAAATAAATAATGGAACATTCACAGGATGGTTTATTATGTCTCCATTAAAAAAATCACATTTCCGAGTTTTTGAAAACTATTGTAAAGGCCCCCGGGACCTCCTGCCTTGACACATGCCAGAGTTGCTTCCATGTACACACCGGGGGGACCAGGGAAGGGTCCTAGGACCCTCTCTGTACTATTTTGAGTCCATAATTGTTTCAAAATAAAAAGTTAAAGAACACATTAGAAAAGTAAAACCAGTGTACAGGGGAAAAACTGGCGGGAACTTCAAAGCATTAAGTGAGGTGGAATTTTTTTGTTCAGAAAACATGGGTGGAGATTTAAAGGAGGGCACCCTTTCTGTCGGCTGCTGCCTCTGGGCAGCGGCCCTGCACTCGGCCCGGAGGCCGCAGGCCCTGGCCTCTGGGATCAGGGCTGCAGGTGGTGTCAACCTCCCAGGACCATCTTCCCTGGACCTGTGAGCAAACACAAAGCCCCAGGCAAACCTCAGAGTGAGGATGGCTCCACCTTTCCAAAGACCAGCCCGGTCAGACTTTGCTGTGTTGTGGTCTGGCTTCAGGAGAGCTGAAAAACATTTCCCTGCCCCCTTGTTTTCCCTCCCAGGCAGTGAAGAAGGTTTACTTTCCCAAGTAGATGCAGCACAGAGGGGCACTGGGAGGTTCGAATGCTGAAGCTGAGGCCAAGTTCATACTGTCTGACACTTTGTTACTCACAGTGGCACATGGTCTTTCCTAGGAAGCAAACACCACAGTGAAAAGGAACTAAAGTGGAATCGGCCAGACGCAAAAGGACAAGTACTGCATGATTCCACCTACGTGAAACGTCCAGAACAGGCCAAGCCACAGAGAGAGAAAGTTCAATGCCGGTGCCAGGGGCTGGGGCAGGGGGCGGGAATTAAACGGGGACAGATTTTGTTTTAGATGATGAAAACATTCTAGAAATGGATAAGCGGCGGGTGATGGTTGCACAACCTTGTGAATGTACTTAGTGCCACTGTAAAAAAAAGAAAAGAAAATGAAAAGCCACCTAGAGAGAAAGGACTTGGAAAAGCTAACTCTCTCTTGGATTATTTCAACATGAAATGACTCCTTACAGGGCACAGGGACTTTTCTGTCCCCCATGGTCACAGGGCCTTGCACGGTGACTCAGACGGGCACTGAGTGGCAGCCTGTAGGAGGAGAGGTCAGAGCAGAATCGCATTTATCTCCATTTTGTAGATGAACAAACAGAGGGGGTTCATGTTTTGTGAACTATGTTTCCAGATGCACCTTTGGTCAGAAAAGTAAATTCTGGTATGGAGAACAATAGCTCTCTAAACTGGGACTAAAATTCCTTTGAATCTTGGGGCTCCAGCCCTAAAACTAGAGACTCAGTCAATGAATTTACCACCGGGGGCTGGAAACTCAGAGCCAATCAGAGGAGGAGCTGCCTCTGCCCCTCCTGGCAGCCACTCCCTGTGGGAACCCCCACCTCCTCCAGGTGGCCCCCTGGGCCTGGGGTAAAGAGGGTGATCTCATTACCTATGCTCACCGCCCTCCTGCTCCGAGCCCCTGGACTTCTCTTCCGCCAGTCTGTCGGACACCAGCTTCAGGGCGCGTTCCGAGTGGGACACAGCCTTCTGCACAGCCAGGAGCTCCTCCTCCGTGGGGTAGATGGTGGCATGCTTGCACAAGACGTGGCGGTCATCACTGGACTCCCGTCGCTGTGTGGGCTTCGAGAAAACGTGCACAAGTTATTGTGGGCTGAGAGGTCCCAGACCTGGCGGGCAGGGGACAGGGGGAGTGTCGGCTCCGCAGAGATGCAGCACACGCAGCGGGAGGACATGCAAGGGTGGAGCCAGGCTGAGGAATGATGGGGACCTACTGGTGGTGACCCAGTGAGGACCCCACAGCCTCCCCTGATGGCTGTAGGAAGGTCAGGGCTGAGGGGGCCCAGGGGGCTCCCCTGTACTGACACTGTTACATTTCCAAGCCAGAGGCTTTTCGGCCAGTTCAGTGGGCCTGTTCCCTCAGCAAGGTGCAAATCAAGGTTCCCATCCAATCACAGCCTGCGCAGACAGACGGACGGACACCTGAGGATCCCCAAGAGATGTGACAACAGGGGCCTCAGGAAACTAAACGGACCACTGTGGTGGGCATTGGGGCAGGGGCCTGGAGCTCCCATTGGTGACCAGTGATGAGAGGTGGGCACCCCACAGGGCTCTTGGTACAAAGTCCTAATCCTCATCCCTGGAAGATTCAGGTCTTCCGGTGAGGATGTGAGGAAGTGCCACACACCGCGGTGCCAGTGCCACCGGAGGCATTTCAGCACGAGACCTACCAGAGCCGAGGTGGTGGGCACCCCCGGGCTGCTCATGAGGGGAGGAGGGGCCTGGTCGGGAGGTGAGTGTCCCGGGTGTTCATCCTGGGCCTGCGGCTTTTCCATCCTCCTCCTGCACAGGTCGTAATGCCTGTGGGACAGCAAGAAAACAAGGAGCTGTCAGCAGCTGCAGGACCCTGGGCTTGTCACATCAGAGCCAGCAGTGTATGGAAGCCATATGGCTCCTGCTGCCTGGTCCTTGGGCTGAGCAAGGCTGAGGCTCCAGGACCACTGAGGAGATGAAGCAGCTAATGGGGCCCCATAAGAGCCCACAAAGGGGTTCTGTACAAACGCTTGCCACATGCCAAGGAGACTAAGTCTCAAAGGGCCTAGAGTAACTGCTACGGAGGGAGGAGTCGGCCTACGTGGCCACAGCCCCCAAGTCTGTCCTGGGCCTCATTCTCCAGCTCAGATGCTGCTTTGGATCTTCTGTGAATTGGATATGCATCACAAAATGCTTTGGAATTGCTCCAGAGCAGTGGTTCTCAACCTTCCTAATGCCCCGGCCCTTTAATCCATACAGTTCCTCATGTTGTATGTGGGCGTATCTGCATGTGGGCGACCCGCCTGGAGACCGATAGAGGAGCGGTGTCTCTGTTCCTAAGACCATCAGAAATATGTGTTTTCTGATGGTCTTAGGCGACCCCTGTGAAAGGGTCGTTTGACCCCCAAAGGGGTCACGACCCACAGGTTGAGAATTGCTCTAGAGGGTGAAGGGGGATGATGATAAATGTGTGGGCGTTTGGGAAACATCAGGGGTCAGACATAGGAGGTCAGAGGACACCAGGGTTCACCGGGGATCTGGGAACACAAGGACACAGGAGGTCAGGGAACACTAGGAGTTGAGGGACATGGGGACGACAGGGCTTCCCTGTGAATTAGGCCAGAGAGTGCCAGCCCCTTGGTTATCAGGACCATGCCATCCCTGGTTCACTAGGTGGCTCGCACTAGCTAAGGCAGATCGTTAGAGTGACGGGTGCACAAGGGCCCGGCTAGCTCTAAAATTCTCCATGTCCCCACAGGGGCTGTGTCCCTGCCAACCTTGCAGGTCATGAGCACCTGAGTTCTCAGGCCTGGAAGGGAGAGCGAATGTCCACCCAACTCCGATGAGGGAGCAAGCGAACAAGCACGGGCATTTGGTTCTCAAAGGTGCCCTGAGGGCAGAGGGCAGTCAGGGGTGGGAAGGAAGGGACCCGCGCCTCATCTCCGCATGCCGGCGCCTTAGCTCCTCCAGCTGTTTCCTGGCCAGCTGCTTCTGCTTCCTCTTCCTCTCCTCCAGGAGCTTCCAGGCTCTGTTGCTGAGCTTGATGGAGATCGGAAGGTCAGGATCGACTTTCTTCTGGAAAAGAAATGAAGGGCTGTAGGATCGGAGACCATCACTTAGACAAGAACGTCGCGGTGTCTCAGGGACGCAGAGACAGGCCCCGTGACTGTCACCCTTCTGTATTTAGACAACAGTGGGCTTCAACCTCCCAGAGTCTTAACACTCCTTGTCCCCAAAAGCACTGGCAGGAAAGGGAACTGGCATGGGGGACAGAACAACTGACATGCAGAATAACAGACACAATAGTGAAAGCAGAACCCTGTCTCCGTATCTGAGAGAGGAGCCAGAGGCGTAGTGACACCGCTGGCGAATAACTGACCATCACTGAACAGTCACTGTGAGGTCAACAAAAACACTCGTTTCCAATAAAATAATTCAGGGAACATCATTTGTGTGAAATCCAGCAATATATAATTGCAACTGGCATGGCTAATTCATTTGCTGAACTTGGTTTTTAGCCCTTAATTTCTTCATTCAGAAAGTGTTGTGTTGTCTAAGGATTATTAATTGGCAGAAACAATCCAAGTATCCATCGATGGGAGAACGGATACACAAGGTGTGTCCATCTACACACTGGAATATTACTCAGCCACAAAAAGGAAGGAAGCTTTGACTCTCTCCAGCGTGGAAGGAACTTGAACATACGATGCTCAGCGAGAGAAGCCAGACACAAAAGGCCACACAGTGTGGGAGTCCATTGGCGTGAAATGTCCACAACAGGCAAATCCACAGGAACAAAGTGGGTTCGTGGTTTTTAAACAGGACTTAAGGTTGGGAATGAGGACTGGCTGCTAATGGGAATGGGCTCTTTTGGGAGTGATGAGAATGTTCTGGAATTAGAGAGAGGTGATGGTTGCACAACTCTGTGAATACAGTAAATGCCATTCAACTGTGCAGTTTCTGAGGGTAAATTGTATGGTGTGTGGATGACATCTCAATGAAACTGCTAAAAAGAGAGGAAACACCTAGAAGCCATTGTTTATCACCCTGAGGAGAGTTACATACGTGCTTTGCACAAGCAAGCATACTACAGGCCTGACAGGCATGTTTAAACACACACATGTGCACGTGTGCCCTATGGTTGAGCCCAGGGTGCTGCAGGGCCCATGGGAGCTCCTTGGCCACACAAAGCCACCCCTTGGGTGGGAAAGGGAACCCCTGCTTGTGCTGGGAGGCCCTTGGCATTGGAGGTGCCAGGCTCCCTGAAGATGGCTCCGCTGGACAGCTGGACACCCCCTGCAGCAGCGGCCCCTCCAGTCACCTCTGGCCACCAGAGCCCCGGCCTCTCTCCAGCTCACAGACTCAGCCCTGCGCCAGTGCTCACATGCTTCCCGTGGTGACAGTTCAGACAAGGCACAGCACTCCCATCTCAGCTAGCACACACCAGCTTGCAGGGCAGAGGCCCAGGAAAAGAAAAACGTGTGGCAGGTGTGGACAAACTGACACTGAGTGTCTGGGGAAAATGAGTGATGTCTGTGTGTCCTGTTTTGTGTGCACAGCTACGATCTGACTGTGTGCTTGAGAACCTCCTCTGGCAACAGGCGGGAGCAGATGTTTACAACTAAACACTCATCTGCAAGAGATGAAATCAACTGGCAAATACAATCGTGTTTTCTGCTCTGTCCGCCAGGCAGAGGGAAACACAGGCCTGGATGCTGCTTGAGAGGCCCAGGGGGCGCGGAGCAACTGTCAGAGCTCCAACTTGCACAGGAAAACATGCATTTGAAGACATGGACCCAGATGTAGAAATCATGGTTCTTACACACATGCATGCCCGCACATGCCTCAACCCTGAGCTAACTGAGACCCTGCCGGCGCACCTTGTACTGCAGCCGGTGCCGCCGCCCCCGCACGTGCATGTCCCTGGCGTTAGCGTCGTTGAAGCTGCACTCGCACAGCTTGCAGTGGAATCGGATCACTTTGCCCTCGCTGTTGCACACCTGAGACACAAAGCTCAGCTAAGCATCGGCCCCTGGGGAAGGACACCTCCCTCCACCCTCTGAGGACACTGGGCCTTCCTGGGTGGCCCAGAGGAGTGACAGCAAAGCCTTCAGTGCCAGCGTCCTGGCTTCCTGTCTGCTGAGCTATTCCAAAGGACAGCTTTCAGAGGAGCCAATACGCCCTCCCATGCTGAGCCCACCTCTACCACCATCCGGTGCCTTTTCTCCTCCCTCTGGCTCAGCCACCTCTGGCTCAGGCCCTGCCCTGTGGCACTCCTGCCTTTGCCCATCATGTGCCCTTCTCTGTTTGCTGCAGCTTTTGTGGACCTCATCTCCTTCTCTGTGAAATGACCAGGTCTGCCGTGCAGAAGTCCTAGCTAAGTGTGGTTACTTCGCATAGGACAAAACAAGATGCTGAACTGGTTGAGTAAAAACACAAAAATGAAAAGAAATGCTGCTGTTCGCACTTCCTTTCAGCCACATGCAGTCTTTGGACGAATTCAGGGAGGCTGGGAACTATGGGAATAGCCCGAAGAAGCTTCAGAATTTGAGTTCTAGAACGCCGTTTAAACAGGCCTGTGGGGCCACTGCTCAGGCTCTGGGCAATGGCCATGCAGGGTGCATGCCGGCTCCTAATGTCCCTTGAATCACGGACCTTGGGATGATGTGGTCACCTAGCTTTCTAGGCACCAATTTCTTTTCCCACCCTCCTTCCCACAGAAAAAGGGGCTGCTCACCAAGAAATGCCTCCACCTGCCTCAGGCCTTCCTTCTAAGATCTGAAACCCAGCCCAGCTGGTGTGGCTCAGTGGTTGAGCGTCGACCCATGCACCAACGGGTTGCTGGTTCGATTCCCGGTCAGGGCACATGCCCAGGCTAAGATCTGAAACTCAGTGCCTACACCTTCCAGCAAGTTCTGGATGACTTAGTAAGGTACGCCCGGGGATGGTTGTGTAAATGTGACATGGAGAACTAAGTTGAGGGCAAAAACCTGACCCTGGCAAGGCCCTTGTCCACCCAGAGGTGGAGAAGGGCACACACCAATTGCCCAAGGGTGAAATTACCTCTTGCACGTAGCCTGGGCCCACCGGCTCTGAGTCACAGCAGCTTCCAGAAGCTTCCACAGAGCCTCCTTGGACGGGCAGTTGCCCCGACCGCTCTGATTTCGGGTGTGCCAGTGTCTCCTCTGGGGGTCTGCAGCCCACTGCCTGCAGCTCAGGAGGCCCTGGAAGAACTGTGTCATTAACCTGCTCTGGCCAGAAACCACGGCCAGCCTGCTTCCAGTCGGCCAGTGTGAAGGGGAGAACGCGATGCAAACCCAGGGCTACAGCCTCTTTCATCCCTGCACGACATCAGCCGGTTGGATACAAGGTTCCACAAGACCCCTCCTGTCAGCTTGGGTCACGGCTGAGAGAACAAGGCCCACACAGAGCTTGGTGCCAGTCTGAATGCATCACAGAGGGGCTCTGGCTGTAGGCCCCCGGCTGAGAAACCCCACAGCACAGACTCTGCAGCCCTTCGTTAACTGGCAGTGAGACATCAAGTGGACCAACGGCCATAGGCAACCTGGCCCCATCAGACAAATCCACTGAGTCTCTGGAGGAACAGCTGTTTCTTTGTTGTCAAAACTCCTTTATGGTTTTATCTTCAGTATCATGTGAGTATTCAAAACACAGTGCTACTGATGCTAAAAACAAAATAAACCCCTCCCCCTCCCACAAAAAGCATGGAAGTGAAGAGCAGAGACAGTTGGAGACCTGGGTTCAAATCCTGCCTCCACCATTTATGGGGTGGCCTAGGTCAGGTACTTCCCCTTGCCCCACCTCAGTTCTTCCATCTACAAGTTGGGACCAATGACAAAATCTACTTTAAAGAGTCATAATGGGGCCCTGGCCGGTTTGGCTCAGCAGTTAGAGTGTCGGCCTGCGGTCCGGAGAGACCCGGGTTCGGTTCCCGCTAAGGGCACGTACCTCGGTTGCAGTTTGTCCCCGGCCCTGGTTGGTTGTGCGGGTGGCAGCCACTCGATGTGTCCCTTTCACGTTGATGTTTCTCTCTCTTTCCCTCTCTCTCCCTCCCACTCTATCTGAACAAAAAATGGAAAGATGTCCTCGGGTAAGGATAGGGAAAAAAAAGAAAGAGTCATAATGGGTATATCATGCAATGCACGTGCAGCGGCTGTGGAGTGCCTGACATACAATCCCGGTTACGACCCACTCAGGAAGCGTCACGTGGTAGCCTAGCCATGACTTCCCTCAGGTAACGGTGGATGTGCCCCCCTGAGGGAAGCAGAGCCAGAGGGGGGCTGTGAGGATCCCCACCTACATAACTGTGAGAGCCAAGTTTGTCCACGTGAGCACCGGGCTGTGCCGGGGGCCACCCCCAGCATGTGGGAGGTAGTAGCCTAGGGAATTCTCCAGGCCTAGGGCAGGGCTTCAGAGAACCCCCAGCACCTGGGTCTGTCCCAGGCTCCCTGGGAAGAAATGATGCTGCCATCCCACTGGATCTACCATTCAGGGAAATGGTCTCTTATCAGAGGCCCAGAAGGTATGGATCAGAGCACCTCCTGCCTGGCAGGAATATGAGAGAGAAGGCATGCTCCTCCCCATCCCCGCCCCCATGCATAAGTTAGCCCCTCCGGAGATGTACGCTGGCTCACACACAAGTCAACTGGCCAAACCCTTCTCTGAATCTCCAGTGTGTTGAGTCAGGGGCATGGCGGGAGGGCTGTGAACCGAAGAGACATACCCACGCATGTGGCCTTCGAGGCCAGCTCTGGCCTGCTAAGGGTGCGTATGCTGGAGCCAGCGGGGTCCACAGGCTTGGCAGAGGCCACAGGGGGGCTCTCAGTGGTGAGGGGGCCCAGCTTGCTGGTGCAGGCGGTCTGGGCTGAGCCGGAGTTCCCTGGCACGGGTTCTATGTTGGGGATGGGCTTCCCCAATTTGGTATGCAGCTTGAAGACCTGGAACAGCCCCAGGTTCCCTGGTCAGGGCCAACTGCAGGCCTGATTGACCTTTTTCAAGGGCAGGAAGAACACCTGAGTGGGTGTGGGAGGGCTTGCAACCTGTGGAAGTGAGGATGGGTGGGCCCATCCCAGTCCCCAGGGACCCCACCCACTCCCCAGCTACTAAGCTCTCTCAAGCATCCTCCCTCTGGAAGGGCCTTCCTGAGCTGCCTCCTGCTTCTAGGCCACCACTGGCCATGCACATGCGGGCCCTACAATACAGCAGTACCCGGTGCTGGGTAA